TATATATATATATATATATATATATATATATATATATATATATATGTATAAGGGACCAAATGAAGGCTGGATATAATCAAAATGTGTCTGTCATTGCCAGAATAATGCCCCTGCAACTTCTTGAAGTGATGTCCAGCAGGAAGCGGAGACCTAACTGGACAGACCAGGAGTGTCTACTTCTTGCTCAGTTAATGCAGGAGAAGAAAGACATAATCAGAGGGAAGTGCAGCAATGGTGTTACAATACAGGATAAAAGACAAGCCTGGGAGGAAATAGCCCAATCCATCAACACCGCCTTTCCACAGATTCAACGTACAGTTTCTGACTGTAACAAAAAGTGGGAAAATCTGCTGGCAAAGTCAAAGGAGGAGATCAAACGACAGAGAAGGCAAGCGGGCGCAGGTGAGGAAAATCTGCAAGAAAAAAAGTCTTAATGCTCAGTGTCATTAAATCTGCAATCTCAGACTGGTGAAACAGCACCTTGAGGGTGGCTAAGTGGGGATGATTTTGAGTTAAAAACCCAGAGGAAGAAATAAGCAAATCCACATCATCACTGTTTGAGTTGAATACATAGTATTGTATTTATTATTAATGAATGCATGACATGCCTTTTCATTTATAGAAGGCCTGTCCGTTGAACAGTTCAGCACTGTGACTCAAGTGGTGATTTCTGTGATGAACCTCTCAGAAATGCTGCAACTCGATAGAGAAGACTCTTCAATCTCAGAGTTGATGGAAACTCAAAACAGGTCGTTGTTTTATTTGTTTAGACTGAAACAAAGCATAACTTTATATACAGTAACTTATTGAAAATATGTTATTGATATTTGTTCATCCCAATTACAAAACAAGCATTCAGTATTTTCCCACTTCAAATTAATGTCCTGGTTACATTTGTGTTATCCACAAACCTCACTGTGAACAGTTTTCAGTGGAGCATTGTGACAAATAAATAGTGGAAAAACTGTTCACAGTGAGCTCTGTGGATTATTTAGAGTAACAAGAATATGGTTTCTGGAAAGAGTTGCTGCCATTAATGTATAATATTTAATTTATCAGTGCTGGGAGCACACCAAAAACACAATCAGAGAACCTGAATCTCAGAACCTGGATTAATAAAACTAAACCACAAGAGGGAAGTGAGAATATATATATACAGTATATTGTTTGTAATTTGGATGAACTAACTCCTTTAAGGATGAAATGCATATTATTGTCCAACATTATCATTGACAATCTTTTTTTTTTCAGCAGTGATGAAGATGAAAATGAGCACAGAATAGATGAACGATTCTCAAACAAACATCCACTGCGAGAGCTTGAGCTCCCCACATATCCAGAGCCATCCACTTCTCCAGCAGAACGAAAAATGAATGATTTTACTAACGTCCCCAAATTACTTGCAGTGCATTTCAGCACTCATCATGCTGCTGGCTTTGCTGCTTCTGCAGAACACCTGGATTCTCTCTGTTCTGCTTCTTCACCCGCAGTGCACTGCACAACTGTGCAAGAGCGAACGGATTTGGAAATGTCTGTGCTAAGAAGACAAGAGGCAGTCCTCAAGCTGCAAGAGGAATATTACACACTGAAAATTAAGCTGATGAAAAAGCAAACGGAATAGCCACTGAAGGACAACATGTTGTACCTACAGGACATTATCAATTGTAGTCTTAACATACACGTCTGAATATAATCAACATTACTCTAGAATAAAGTTTATACAGGTACTTTTGAGAGGCTGTTAAGCATTGTTGCTTTCTGGCGGTTCCATTCGGTTGCAAACTCACTATTTGCTTGGGAATATTTCAGTTTACTTCGGAGTGTATGGCCTTTGAGGCAGGGCCATATTGCTATAAGACACACACACTATATTTTAACATATAACCATAGTGTAAGGAGAACAAATGACACATTTACTAAAGTTCACACAACCATGTGTATTTGAACCTAATTTAAAAATGTTACAGCTGTAATTCAACTGTAACATTTTTTAATTCTTGAAATCAAAGTTATTCTTTGAAGGAAGTATAAATGAGTTTGGTTTATCTGCCAACTATACTGTAAAACTTTACACTCATATGTATAGTTTTACACTGTGGGAAATGTAGTTTATTTACTGATTTGTGCCATTTAGTCATAAGTGCGAATTTGGAAGCTGTAAATGTTTGACATATACCAATATACATATTTATGAAAACCGAACTCGGTCATGCCCATGTAAGTAAAGCTACGATAATGTCCTGTCTAGACAAATGTAGTAATTTGTCCGTAATATTTCTCATAAATCCGTTTGTTTGTAAGTGATGGGAGTTGGCACCCAGATGTAAGCAGTGGGGCCCAGAGTGTTGAATAAAAGTCTGTTATTTGCTGTGTGGTTTGCTCATTTCCTTTGTTAGTGTTTTGCCAGACTGTGTTACAACTGAGTGCTGCGACTGTCTCTCATTTTCAGCCGCCTCAGCATTAACTCCTCGTCACTTTTTTTTTTTCATTCACTCTTTTAGCTTCAACTGTGTAAAGAGAACAGCTTTTTGAGGACTAAGGTTATGGGTACAAAAAGGCTCGGCTACATTTATTATACTTAATGTGTTGATATGAGGAGTCTAACGGAGCATTAAAGTTACCTAACTTTTATCTTACCACGGGATAGACGCACTAATTGAGCTTGCTGCAAGCATGTGCTGTACTGGGAATGGCAAAAGTATTACAGGCTGCTACTTAACAACTGATTTTATCTAAATATATTTCATAGAGTCAAAGGTTTTGTTGAAAAGACATCCTTTCTCAGGTTAAGCTTATTCTCCAATTCAGCCTTTTTCATCTGATCTACCCTCTCGACTCTTTCAGATGATTTAAAGTACTCTTTCACGTGCACCACTCAAATACGTTCAGTAGAATATAAACTGGATACTATCAAACACTACCAATTATATAAAACAGTAGAATAATAAGAAAAACACCATTTATCAGTTTATTTAGGTAAGTAAAAATAAGCATAAAATGGAAATACTCAAGTAAAGTACAAGTTCCTCAAAATTGCAAATAAGTACAGTACTTGAGTAAAAGTACTTCCACCACTGCTGGTTACTGTAAATATACCACAATTTGTATTCTTATTTGGCTCTTTAGTTTCCTTCTCAACAGAAACGTGGATGTTAAGTTCGTTTAACTTTCCACGGCCCCTTTGACACCTGCAGAGGTAGTTGCTTGGGGACAGGTACCCATGGATGGGAATGGCTGCTCTAAAAGTCAGTCCCCTAAACTTCACTCATAGTTGTTTTATTGTCAAGCCATGAATATCGTCAGACCTTTGAACTTTGCATTCAAGTTCTGTTTGCTTGGAAGCTGACATTTTTATATAATTTGTGCATATTCGTCCATTGCATTCACTTTATGTCTTTTATTCCTCTAGCTAATTGTATCAGCTAAATGTTTTTAAACATTGTGAGATGCAAATATGCTGATCAAGTAGACTACTGATGATACCCTAAAAACTACAGTACAGCATTCTTTATAGGAATTCCTAGATACCATCTGTCCCCTAGTGTCAGTGATGGTATCCATTCCTCCCGTCCCTGACAGATGAGCCATGTTTTGGAGTGTCCTCTGGGCAGTCCACTTAACTGCCTGAAAAGGAACCCCTTAATCTCCACTTTCTCTTTGTTTGGACTATTATCAGACCTGTCAGTCCTGGCTGCTTTATCTTCACAGGACTCATCTACTGCCTTTTTGACGTTGGCTTAATTCTATCAAAGGCCCTTATCTCTGATTTGCCTGAGGATGCATCCTTCCTCTGACTCGCTAGAATGATCCCCGCTCTGTTAAGAGAAGTCTCACTAGTGCAAATAACATTGTCTTGTGTAAGAGCTTTTTTTTTTGCATGTTGCTTGCTTATTTTTATTAATTTTTCCTGCTGTAGTTTGCTGTTTTCCCTCAGTGTGCTGTATTTTCTGCTTTCTATATTGTTTATTATTGGGGTGTAGTCTGACACCTGAGCTAACGACGCAATAATATCACTTCAACCACCACTTTCTGTCTTTTGGTGGCAGTAGTCACTTGAAACACTCTGTAGGAATGTCATGCAGGTTGATCTGATGAAGAGCAATTACATGGGAGGGAGCTGTTACCTTTTAGGTGGAGACGTACCTGCCACACCCTGCAGGCTTACAAATAAGCCTCTGGACACATCCCAAACGTGTGAGAATAGTCCCCTTTCTTCTTGTCCTTCTCCTCTTGACATATGGTCTGACAGGATTTGACAGTTGGGGTTTGAGAAGCTTTGGCCTGGATGGTGTATTAAGTCACCGAGTTTGCTTTGGTTGGCATTATGTCAACGAGACAAATAGAAGAAGCCTTCTCAGAGCCCATAAGAAAAAGGTATTTGGAGTTGGTGCCAGGTAAATGTTTGACTCATCTCGTAAACCTCTGAGGTTCTTCCTTTAATGTCATGTTGATGTAATTTAATTATCAATAACAATATATATGTATTTGTCCTATTAATTGTCAAACAAATGGAAATTAAGCAAATAAGCTGTTATTATTTTAATGTGAGCTGGATGATACTGTGTATGACTGTGCGCCTGTGTGAGAAAAGTAAAGGTTTTTTTGTGCATCAATAGTATCTCAGGGTGCTGTAATCTGTGCATGTGGTTTGCATGTCTGAGAATATTTAGATGTTGATTCTTTTTTACCATTATAATAGCCAGGACCCATTTTTTTGCATAAGCATTGCATGCAAGGTCACGTACATGTAAGTTTCCTGGAAAAGTAATCGTGGAAAAGACATGCAGTTTAGCTGCTTGGACCAACAAAGAACTACCCACAGGTTAAGTACAGATGTTGCAATCACAAATTGGATTTTCCATAATGCATTCACTGTTACAAACGCTTAACTTTATTTAGATTAGAAAGGGCATTGCCCATTACCAACAGGCTTCAGGCACAATGTCTCTGCTCCAGGGATTAACCACAATTTATGCTTTTATTTTGCTGGCGTGGTGACAGCCAAGAAAGGGAAACTTTCTGAAAAGGCACGGTTACAGGGCAAATTACCCTCTACCCACTTATTTGATTTTGTTTTAGCCTTCACCACATGCACAAACAAAATGGTTATTGAAGAAACTACTTTTTGGACACTGATTGATTGGACTATGGCCATCAGTGTCATCATTGTGTCTTGTTGGACACAAAAATGTCTCTTGGTTCTTTGTTACCATCAGTTTGCAGGTCGTTTTACAGAGACTGTGTACATGTGAGTTTCAAATATGATATAATCACGGCATGGCTATACTAAGACAGTCCAGATTTAAGCATTCTGGATGTGCTTGACTTAATCATTTTCCACAATGGTCTTTAGAAATGGACAGCAATTGACCCACCAATGAAAGGGGATCCTCTTTGTAATTAAAGCCAGTAGAAAATTGGATAATTTTTTGCCTGGACAGCTTTCACATTCCAGTCTAATATGGCATTGGAAACTTTTGAAGTTGCTGTCTTGGCAGTCCCAAATTATACCTTTCATCACCCAATCATAAGAAAATGGCAACCTGACATTCCCAATCGCAACTTACTTTTGAGCTGGAGTTCATGTAATCAAGCGGAGTGCGTGATACCCACTGACTAATCGACTATGAATACTTGAATTACAATTTCTCTATTTTAGCTCAAGGGATCTTTTATTTTTAAGATCAGAGAGGCATTTTAGCGTGATCCACCAAAAGTCAAATATATGTAATTATCTCTTTACTTCTTATTGGTTCAAATGACTACTTTTTCAGTGAACCCTGAGTAATGCTACTTATTCTGAAGTTGTGTGATGTAAACATTTGTATCACTTTACGACTATTTATTACTATCACTAATCAAAGTCTTTTAGAATTTCTTGTGACAACTTCAAAATCACAGGTTCACGTTTGGCGGTGGACCTTTGCCCGCTTATAATGAATGCAAAAAATATATATTCCAATACAAAGCTTCTCTCTTCTCTCTCTTTGAAGTATCTGAACTGAAATTCAGCCTTTTGCTTTTTCTTTCAAAGTCTTAATATTAACTATGGGCAACAATTGAAGTCACAGTCGTTCAACCAAAAATAAATTGTTTATTTTCCTGTCAACCAAGGAAAAAACAAAGTGGCTCAACTAAAAAGTCACATCCTGTTACAGAAGTATGAGAGTCTAACCAAAAATACAAACATGCTTAGTGTGAGCAAGTTGTGCAGGTCAGAATGAATCATGTCGCTTCGTCACCACTGTAATGACAATTATATTACTTCGCCCTCTGAGCTAAACTTCAACGCATTTGTTGGGGATTCACTGAATAGTTTCTTGCAACTTCTGCACGATCACCTAATTACAACTTGACAGAGCTGACACAGACGAGTACATTCACACTGACACAATGGTCTTTGAGGGGTAAAAAGCTCCATGGAAGCATTTACAGAGCAGGTCACTGCTCGGCCCCATTGCCTCATCCTCACTGGACAGCTGTACTGTTTAAAGTGCAATGTTGAGCTTGAAATTACTTGGAGAATTATGGGCGTTAGCACAAGTCAGCGGGTTCACTGAGAAAATCTATTTCATAGTGAGAATGGTATACTGTGGTAGCATAGGTAACATACTGCAATTTTCTGCTAGATCAATATAACAGTCTGTGATTTTTGTATAATCTTTGTTGACCCACAATGTACAAAATAAAACTCTTCCAGGATGATAATTCGCCAGTTAAGGGCGATTAAACTGGTGCTCTTCTGCTGAGAGGCTGCTGGCTGACCAGCGCAACCTGAAAACAATGGCCACTATTATGCATCGTCAGGCACGTCTACTGAACAGGCATGTATTTCTGCCCCAGAACAAACCAAACTCCTCAGAGACACTGGAATGAAACATGAACTAATTTGTGTTTTGGTGGTTTCTGCCATTCTTAACCCCAGCCTCTGGCCAAGGCTACAATGTCGCACACGGCTTTATGTATTTATAAATAGGCAGAGCAAAAAGGGGAAAGAGAGAGAAATGAGCCCAACAGATGACTGAAACCATATGGAACTGGTGAAGAGTAACTCATCCTGTGACAACATAGCACGCAGGCCCCCCCCCCCCGCCCCAAGTCCCACTCTGTCTCATGTCACAGCCGTTCAGGAAAGACTGCAATTGGGGAAGGTCAATCGGTGGCTGGGGCCAAGAACAAAGTGATCGTGATTTTCAAAAAGTACATGCGGGATCTGAGGAGGAAATGATTTTGCCGCCAAACACTCAATTACATGTAATTACAATAATTCAACCTTGGAAGATGGTTTATTCCATTTTATTATGAGGTTCGCTCTTTCATGTCTTATGGGGGGGGGGAGGAGGGGGGAGTGTCA